AGTTCCCCAAACAGATTCAATCCAAAAAGATCCCGTCCAAAACATATTATAGTCAAATTTGCAAAGCTCAAAGACAAAGACAGAATTCTTAAAACAGCAAGAAAAAACCATCACGTCACCTATAAGGGAACTCCCATCAAACTAAAAGCAGACTTCACAACTGAAACCCTACAGGCAAGAAGAAGGTAGAATGATATATTCAAAATACTAAAAGAAAAAAAAAATTGCCAGCCAAGAATTCTTTACTCAGCAAGGTTCTCCTTCAGAAATGAGGGAGAAATAATGTATTTCCCAGACAAACAAAAGTTGTGGTAGTTCACCACCACACGACCAGCCCTGCAAGAAATTATCAAGGGAGACCTTCATCTGGAATATGAATAATGATGACCACTATCACAGATACACAAGAAAGAGCAAAACCCACCATTAAAATAAAAATGCCAGTGAGAAAGAGAAAGAAGTTGAATCATACCACCTCAAATTTCCAACTAACATTGAAGAAGAGAAATAAAAGGACAGTGGAAGTAATGATCAAAAGACTTTTAAGACATCTAAACAGAAAGCAATAAAATGGGAGGAATTAAACCATGCCTGCCAATAACTATCCTAAATGTGAATGGGTTAAACTACCTATTCAAAAGAAACTAATGGACTGACTGAATTAGAAAGCTAGACCCAAGTATATGCTGTCTTCAAGAGACTCACCTGACCTGTATAGACATAAAGTGACTAAAAGTGAAGGGATGGAGAAAGAAATACCATGCAAATGGAAACCAAAAATGAGGAGGAGTAGCGATCTTATAGCAGATAAAATAGAATTTAAACCAAAAAATCATAAAGAAACAAAGAATGCCACTATATAATGATAAAAGGATCTATCCAGCTGGAAGACATAACAATCATAAATATGTATGCACCCAATATTGAAGCATCCAGATATATAAAGCAAACACACTTAGACCTAAAGAAAGAAATAGGCCCTAATACATTAATAGTTGGTGACCTGAACACCCTCTCTCAGTATGGGGCAGAACTTCCAGGCAACAAAATCAACAAAGAGACACAGTATTTAAACTACACTTTAGACCAACTGGACCTGGCAGATATATACAGAAAATTTCACCCAAAAACTAAACAATATATTTTCTTCTCATCAACACATGGAACATTCTCCAGGATAGACCACATATTAGGTCACAAACTTACTTTCAGCAGATTTTAAAAATAAAAAAAATTCCAAGTATCATTTCAGACCACAATGGACTAAAACTGGAAGATAATAACAAGCAAAACCCTGGAAACTATACAAACACATGGAAGCTACAAGATAGAATCCTGAATGTCCTATGGGTCTAAGAAGAAATTCAACAGTAAATCAAAAAATGTCTTGAAACTAATCAAAATAAGTATACATCATACCAAATAAGTATACATCATCCCATCATACCTGTGGGATGCTGCAAAAGTAGTAGTCAGAGGCAAAATTATTGGAATAAATGCTTACATCAAAAGAATGGAAAGACTTAAAATAAACAACCTAAGACAACACCTCAAAGAACTAGAAAAACAAGTAGATGAAAAGAAATAATTAAGATTACAGCAGAACTAAATGAATAGAGACCCCAAAACAATAGAAAAGATCAACAAAACAAAAATTTGTTTTTTCAAAAAGATAAATAAAATAGACAAACCATTAACTAGGGTAACAAAAAAAAAAAAAAAAAAAAAAAAAAAGAAGAGAGAAGACCCCAATAAAAAAAATTAGAAAGGAAAAGGAAGAAATTACAACTGATACAAGAGAAATACAAAGAATAATTAGAGACTATTATAAACAACTACATGACAACAAATAGGAATACCTGGAAGACATGGATTAGTTTCTGGACAAATAAAAAACTACCCAGGCTGAACTAAGAAGAGAGAGAAAATCGGAACAGACCAATAACAAGCAACAAGATTGAAGCAGTAATCAGCAATCTTCCAAAAAAGAAAAGCCCAGATCCTGATGGCTTTACAGCTCAATTCTATCAAACCTTTCAAGAAGAATTAATACTATTTTTCCTCAAACTATTCAAAAAAATTAAAACCAAAGCCATCCTACCATACTCATTCTATGAGGACAACATACTGCTGTACGGCCAAGGCGAAAAAAAAAAAAAAAAAAAAAAAAAAGAAGAAGAAAATTACAGACGCAAAAATTCTCAACAAAATATTAGCAATCAGAATACAGCAACACATCAAATTATACACCATGATCAAGTGGGATTCATCCCAGGGATGCAAGGATGGTTCAACGTATGAAAGTCAATAAATGTGACATATCACATCAAGAAACACAAGGACAAAGACCATAGGATTCTCTCAATAGATGTTGAAAAAGCATTTGACAAAATTCAACATCCCTTCATGATAAAGACTCTCAACAAATTAGGTATACAAGGAAAGTATCGCAACACAATATAAAACATCTATGCCAAGCTCACTGCATCATTCTGAATGGGGAAAAACTGAGGGCTTTTCCCTCAAGAAAAGGAACAAGACAAGGATGCCCACACTCACCACTTCTATTTAACATAATACTAGAGGTACTAGCCAGAGTGACCAGGCAAGAAAAGGAAATAAATAGCATCCAGATTGCAAAAAATGAAGTCAAACTGTCCCTATTTTCAGATTTATGAAACTACATATAGAAAAACCTAAAGACTCTATCAAAAAACTCCAAGAGCTTGTTAATAATTTCAGTAACATTGCAGGATAGACAAAAATCTTGCATTTACATTCTCCAATTATGAGTTAACAGAAAGAGAAATCAATAATTAAGCACATTTATAAGAGTCATGAAAAAATTAAATATCTAGGAAGCAATTTAACCAAGGAGGTGAAAGATCTCTACAATAAGAAGCACAAACCACTACTGAAAGATAATAAGACACAAAAAGATGGATTTACATTCCATGCTCTTCGATTGGAAGAATTAACACTGTGAAATTGTCTATAGTACCTAAAGTGATCTACAGATTCAATGCAATCTTCATCAAAATACCAATGGCCTTCTTTACAGAAATGGAAAAACAACCTTAACATTCATATGGAATAACAACAAAAAATACCCTGAATAGCCAAAGCAATCCTGAATAAAGAAAATAAAGCTAGAGGTTTAAATCTACCTCACTTCAAATTATACTACAAAGCTATAGTAAACAAAACAGCATGATACTGGCATAAAAATAGACCCTTGGACCAGTGGAGCAGAATAGAGAACTCAGAAATCACCCCTCAGTCTTACAGCCATCTGATATTTGACAAAGATAACCAAAACACACATTGGGGAAAAGACTGCCTCTTCAATAAGTGATGCTGGGAAAATTGGATATACATATGCAGAAGAAGGAAATTAGACATTTTCCTGTCACCGTATACTAAAATCAACTGAAACTGGATTAAAGACTTAAGTATAAGACCTGAAATTGTAAAATTACTTAGGGAAATATAGGTGAAACACTTCAGGATCTAGGTCTGGGCACAGATTTATGAACATCAGCCTGAAAGCACAAGCAACAAAAGAAAAAAATAAACAAATGGGACTATATCAAACTAAGAGCTTCTGCACAGCAAAGGAAACAATCACCAGAATGAAACAACAACCTACAAAGTGGGAGAAAATTTTTTGCTAACTATGCATCTGACAAGGTGTTAATATCCATGATATAAAAGGAACTCAAACAATCACACAGTAAAAAAACAAATAACCCAGTTAAAAATGGGCAAAGAAGCTGAATACACATTTTTCAAAGGAAGACAAACAAATGGCCAACAGGTACATGAGAAAATGCTCAACATTGCTAGTCATCAGGGAAAAGCAAATTAAGACTGCACTGAGATATCACCTCACCCCAGGTAGACTGGCTATAATCAAAAAGTTGGAGAATAACAAAAGCTGACAAGGATGTGGAGAGAAAGGAATGAGTTTCTCAAACGACTACAAATTGATCTTCCATACAATGCAGCAATTCCATTTCTGGTTATATAGCCAAAGGAATGGAAATCAACATGTACAGGGGATATCTGCACTCTCATGTGCATCGCAGCTCTGTTCAAAATAGCCAAGATATGGCACCAACCTAAATGTCTATAAATGGACAAACGGAATTTGAAAATGTGGTATATATACACCATGGAATACTACTCTGCCATAAAAAAGAGTAAAATTCTCCCATTTGAAACAACATGGACGAGCTTGGAGAAACTTATGCTGAGTGAAATAAGCAAAAGCACAGAGGGAAAAATACCCCACATACTAACTTGTAAGAGGGAGCTAAGAGAGAAAGAAGGAAAGAAAGAAAGACAGCAGTGGTGTGTTGCACTTACAGAGGGAGAGAGCATACCCAGGAATACAAAATGGAGTGGGGCAAAGGGGGAAGGGAAGAAAGGTTGGGGATAATTGGGTGGGGACCCGGAGTATTATGGCAATTTGTGGTATTACGAATGGTGCCAGTATGGATCTGGCCATCACATCTTGGACACTAGTGGTGACAACCAGCTTTGTACCCCATTAATATTCATAACCAAAAAAAGCATTTTAGCACCAACATACAAACAATATACGCTATAAGATCACAATTAGCAAATGAAGTGTTTATAAAAGTAGGTTATCTAGAGTTTGGAAGTATTTCCCAGGTAGAACAAAACTATAAAACTATGGTTTGCTCTCAAGGACAGATGTACAAACCCTGTTTGTTAGACAATGTGCTTAATATACCATATATCTGCAAAGAAAATTACCTAAAAACAATACTGTTGTAATATGCTAACGAGGGAAAAAATTATACATAACTCTAAGACCATGAGTACATCTCCATACAAAGAAATATGTGAATCACTTAACGAGAGAATGCAGCTAAGGATTAGCCATAATTCTTTGCATTAAAAGTCAAAAAGATGGTCTTGAGGATGAGCAGGAAAGTCTTCAAGTCAAGTTTTAACCAACAAAAAGATCTTTCTCTGCTGAGAGAACCATAGGCAAATTGTGTCGTTTCCACCTGAAAGACGAAAACAGATAAAAGCACAAACGCAGCATTAAAAAGGAAGACAAGAAACAGAAGGTAAATTTGTGCACTTTGAAAACGAGGCGGCCGTCCTTAGCTCCAGAGTCCTGCGTAGTTCCCTTGGAGGCCAGAAGGGAGAGGTCCCCCAGCCACGAAGAGCTTCATCTCAGGCCAGTTGTAGCAGTGGGTGTAGAGAGCATTGGGGAACTCGAAGTAGTTCACCCAGAGGTCATCACGGTTGAGCCAGCCTCTGCCACAGGTGAGCTTGAGCTTCCTCCCTGCCGGCGCTGGAGAGGAATCCGGGCTGGCCGAGGCCCTCTCCTCCAGGAACTTCTGGGCGCGGACGTCATAGAAGAGCAGGGAGCCATGGCCGGTGCCCACGGTGATGATATTCTGGTAGAAACTCAGCGAGCGCACGCCTGTGCCGCCATATCGGGAGCACAGGGGCCGGATGTTCTGCTGGCGCTGGCGAGGATCCAGGAAGGAGACATGGGACTGGGAGCCCACCGCAAACAGGGACAACTCGTTGCAGTAGGTAAGGCACACATTCTCTCGGCAGTAGGGTAGCCTGATGGACAGCAGCCTGGACAGGGTGCTCCTGACTTTCCACAGGTGGAAGTAGCCGTCCAGGGACACCGCTCCCAGTTCCTGGTTCTTGCCGCTGAAGGCCAGGGCCCGCACCTTGCGGTTACTGGGGTTGGTGCTGGCCCTGGGGATGAACTTCATGTCCCTCGGACGGATGTGGGCGTACACGGGGAACCCCGCATCGTTGTGCCAGGGGATGCTCCCATTGAATATGTCGGAGTCCACCCTCCACAGCGCCACGGTGCCGTCGCGGGAGCCACTCACAGCCACGGTGTCGCTCACCCAGGCGATGGAGAAGATCCAGTCCTTGTGGCCGTGGCGGTCGCCGAGACACACAGGGTCCAGGGTGGGCAGCTGGTAGATGGCCAGGCTGTTGGGGTTTTTGCCCCCAGTGGCCAGAAGCGTCTGGGAAGGATTGAGCTCGATGGCGTAGATGCCGCAGCCCGGCTGGGCCCGGGCCGGCCCAGGCCCCCTGTCCTGCAACAGGGGGATGCGCGTGATCTGTCCCGACTGCACATCCAGCACGAAGAGAGTGTTACACTTGGTGCCGCACACCACCTGCCTGGCGTTCAGCCACTGCGACGCGAACACCTTGTTGAGGGTGCCCAGGGACAGCTGGCGCTCGGTCAGCAGCTCGGGCAGCCTCCGCACCGCGTAGACGCGCAGCTCGCCCTCGAAGCCAGGGCCGGCGCTCCAGGACCCTCTGTGTCCGCAGAGCCTTTACTCACTGTCGGGACAGCAGCCAACTAGCCCTCTTAAAATACCTACTTGAATAAAATCTGAAACCTAAAACACAGTCAAGCAAGGGGTAGAAGAAGCCCTGACCGAGATCTGTGTGAAGAAATGAAGTGCACTTGGTGTAATCCTGGGAGACTTTTCGCTGCCATTAGACACGGAATTTGGCAGAGAATGGGGGCGTTTGGCAGCAGCAGGGAGACTTTCACCCTTATGTAAGTCCTGCGGCCCCTCCAGTTTCAGCCCCTCTGCTGGTGTCTTAGCAGTTTCAACCAAATATTTCACCCCTGCCTCTCAAGTTGAGATCTCTGAGCTTTTGTACCCGAGTCCATGAGGAGATCCAAATGCAGATCCCTGGGCCCCACATTCCGTTCATAGGAATGTCTGGGATTCCTTGGTTGGGCAGGAGAGCCTTTAAAACCTGGTGGGGGGGTGGTGGGGAGAGCGGGGCGGGGCGAGAGTAGGGGATCTTTGGAGGCATAAAGAGGTGGAGTGGAAGAGTCCAGGGGAGGAGCACCCCCTTCCTACTACTGGGAGGGAAAGCTAATGTCACCATTATCAGTCCCAAAGGCCCAGGTGCTTGGGAAGAGCTCCCTGCCGCCTTGGGTTGTGGTCCTAAGGGATGGATAGAATTTTTACAAGCAGAGAGAAAGATAAAAGAACTTTCCAGAAGAAGGCATTCATATGGATACAATGGTGAGAATGTAGAGGGTTCAGCACTCCTAGTTGTAGATAGGTTCATACCCTGTCTGCTACTTCAGGGCAGCCAGTCCGGTTGCAGGCCCATACTGGGCATGCTCAATTACACAGCGATAGCAGTTACACAGTGATACGTTGTGTGGAGAGGCTGGTGGCTGATACCAACTATGGACAAGCCCCTATTCTCCTCTGACAAAAAAATGTTTGGGTGGGTGCGTGTGGGTAGGAATTTACTTCTCTGATCAGTCAGGGGAAGGAGATCATAGGAGCTACTTTGTTGCCACTTTCCCCTCTCCAGCTTCCCTGCCCTTTTAATTCTGTCCCCTTCCCCCTTTCCTTTTGCATCTTCACCTCAAGTGCACAAATTCTATGTAAAAGCCATGTGTCCTTCCTCGCCAATCCAGTCCAACTGCTGCATCTCAGTGCTCCTCAACACTCCTGCACCACAGTTCTGACTCCTCTCCTTGTTATTCACTCCATAGCAACAGAAGAGGTCGCATCTGCTTGTTGTGGTAAACAGGGAATTAGGAAAACCTTCATGAAAGAAGGAGGCAACCATATGTTTAAAGGCAGGGATATTATAGAGATGTGGTTCACTAGTCTTAGTGTACGTTAAAATCACAGGGGCAGCTTAATAGATGTGCATATTCCTTAGCTCTATCCCAGAAGAGTTGATGCAGCTGGTCTGTGGACCATTCTACCAGAAACACTGGTCTAAGCTCTTCTCACTCAGATGGGGACAGGGTGTGTTTCAGGTGGGAGATTTAACATCTTCAGTGTATGTACTAGTGAAGGTTCTCCAGAGAGACAGAATCAATAGGATATGTTATAAATGTATGAGAGGGGATTTATTAGGGGAATTGGCTCATGTGATTGTGAAGAGAAGTCTCATGATAGGCCGTCTGCAAACTGGATGATGGTAGCATGGCTCAGTCCCAGTCCAAAGGCCTCAGAACTAGGGAAGCCGATGGTGTACTTGGTTTAAGTTATGGAACCCAAAGCTGAAGAGTCTTGAGATTTGATGTCCACGAACAGGAGAACAGAGTGTACCCCAGCTCCAGTGAATAGAGGGAGAGATTCACCTTTTTCTCCGTTTTTGTTCTCTCTGGGCCCACAGTGGACAGGATGGTTCCCACCCATCTTTCCAACCTAGTCCACTCAGGCTGTCCTGCTAAACTCTTCTGGAAACTCTCTCATGGATACAACTAAAAAAGCTTTACCGGGTTTCTTGATAGTCCTTGATCTAATCAGGTAGACACCTAGAATTAACCATCATAGTGTACTTCAAGGTTTTCTTGAAAATGGACCATATTCAAGTGACTATTGTGAAAGCTTTGACAGTTAAAGAGGCCATAATCAGGTAGAGGCCAAAGCAGAGTGGCCCAGGCAGGAAAATTGTACTTACTAGGTATATAGAACTTATATTTTGCTATTACCTTCCATCTTTACTATATCATTATACTAACAGGCATGTTGCAGGAGCTTTACAAATATTGTCTTCTTTAATCCAGTATTATAATTGTGGGAGCCACATAGTTGTAGGTTATGATTTTGTTCAAAGTCAGTGAATTATTAAGTGAACCCAAGTAATCTGAATCCATACTCCATGTTCTTATCCACATCTCAGAGATTGGGAAAATGCCAGAGACTGAGTGAAAGTTCTGCTAGTGATAGATTTTTAATAAGCCTTACCTTCTTGCAGCACCACAAATGATAGGATATGGCTGTGGGACATCTCTGCAAGTTGGATGCCAGGAGTAGAAACACGAAGAGTAACTGTGGCAGATTCTGGGATTCAGTCTGTGATCAGTTGCAAGGACTACTAAAAGCAGCAGTTCCATAGCTGTTCTGGAGCGACAGCAGAATAGACTAGTAAGGACCAGTGTAGGTTATCCTGATGTCATCTTGTAGTAGAGCAATCGGTGGGGGTACCCATAGCAAACATGAAGAACTAAGGACCACATCCATCTCCTTTTTCCTGTGACCAAGTAAGCATCAAAAGTCTAATGATATCCCATAGAGAGGGGAAGGAACCTTTGACACTGCTGATATTGGACTCTCTACCAGCTAGGATTCAAACACAATTTGATTTAGAAAAATAAAAGAATGTGCTATATAGCATTCTCTCTGGTCTCATGGGAGAAGAAAATATCCATTACCTAGGAATCAAAAGAACAAGGAGAGGGATTTCTATGCTCTGGGTGATGAGGTACTGAGAGGCAACCCCTTACACACTTAATATCCTCCCCCCAAGTCATAATGCAGTGGTCTTATGTCTGTAGTAGTAGAAGGTGGATATTATAACTGTCCAAAACATCTTGAAAATATAAAGAAACTTCCAGTTCTGGCCAGTATGGAGTAGCCCCATTTTTTTTTCAGGTCCTCCCTCTTAAAACTAAAAAAAAAAGAAAGAAAGAAATATCCTGAACATAGCACAACTAACAACTAACAGAAGTTTTAGAAAGATGAAAAGGAGTTGGATATACTAAGGACCCCAGAATTTGAGGAAACACAGCATAGTGAGTTCCCTGGGTTCCCTTATTGTGTCCTATATATTCTGGACAGAAAGCTGCAGAAGTCTCCAACCCAGAACCATTAACAGCCCCAGATAATAAAAGCTACAAGAAAAGCCCATTGCCCTTAGGCAAAGGATCTAAAAAAGAGAGTCCTAACAGTAGCAAACCTCTTTTAGCAATACTCACTTTACTCCAGCCAAACACAAAGAGAAAAACTACCTCACCTCACTCTGCCACACACTGTTTCAGACAGGATAAGTGGGGAGCTGACCTTCAGTGGCAGAAGAAGGTGTTATACTCTGATTCCCCATCAGTGGTAGTGTCAGTATAATCCAGTGGTGAGCTAAGCCTCCACCCACACCCAACCAACAAAGAGACTTAAAGGCAGGGTTTGAGAAGCAGCTAACCACCACTATGCTTCTGCCCCCTCCTCTTCACCAGTGCCAGTAGAGCTCAGTGAATAACTGAGTTTCCACTCCCACCAAGCATCAGTGAGACTGAACAAAGCAGTGAGAGTCAGAGATAGTCATTATTCCACTTTCCCCGTCTCTGGTATGAGCCAGGAGATGAACTTCCACACCCACCCAGCAGCAAAGAGACTGAGCAAGGAGATGGAAAGCAGTGCTAATCCTGTTCCTCAAAAAATAGTGAAGTATGTACACCTACAGATTCAAGAAACTATTGAATACAAATATCATAACTTTAAATAAATCCACACCAAGACACATTATAATTAAACTTCTCAAAACTGAAGATAAAGAAAAAATATTCTTAAAAGCAAACAGAGAGAAATGACACATTACCTCTACTGAACAACCAAGTCAAATGACAGCAGATTTCTTTTCTGAAACTACGGAGGCCAGAAGGAATTGCTGAAAGAAAGATATGTCAACAACAAATTCTATATCCAGCAAAAATATTCAAGAATTAACTGAAATAAAGACATTCTCAGATGGAAAAAATAAACACAAAACTGAAAGAATTTGTTAGTAGAAAACCTATCCTTGAAGGATGGTTAAAAGAAGTTCTCTAAGTAGAAGGTAATCTTAAAAGAAGACTTGAAATTTTAGAGAGGAAAGACGAAAATAAAAATGGATAAAAATATGAGTAAACATAATAGACTTTCCTACTTCTCATGAGTTTCTTAAATCATATTTCATATTTGAAGCACAAATTATAGCACCATCTGATATTGTACTCAATGTATGTAAAGGAAATACTTAGGACAATGATATTTGAAAGCAGAGAAGGTAAAGGGACCTTATGGGAAGTAAGGTTTATACACTTCATTCAAGGTAGTAAAACCTTGATAACAGTATACTGTGATAAATTACATATGTGTTTAATGATGTCTATAGTAACCACTGAGAAAGTTCACAAACTAATATACTCAATAATATTATTAATAAATGAAGATGGAATTTTTTAAAAAAGTGTTCAAATAACCGACAGGTGAGAAAGAAGAAACAGAACAAGAATAAGAGGAAACAACAGAAAACAAATAAGTGGCAGACTTAAGCCCAAACATATCAAAAATTACTGTAAATATAAATGATCTAAATATACTAATCAAATAAGAGAGATGAGAAGAGTTGATTCAAAAGAAAATATGATCCAAAAATATGCTTTCTACAAGTAAATTCCTTCAAATGCGACATACATAGGCTAAAAGTAAAAAGATAGAAAAAAGTATATGATGCAAACATTAATCACAAAAAAGTAGGAGATGCTATATTAGTATCAAATAAAATGGACTTCACAGTGAAAAAAATATTAGAGTGAAAAAAGGTTATTGCATAATCTAGAATTCACAATCCTGAATGTGTATGTGCCAAACCTGAGACATTCAAAATATATAAAGCAAAAACTAATAGAATTGGAAAGTGAAATAGGCAAATCAACACTCCACTCTAGAACAACTATACAGAAAATTAACATGGATATAGAAGAACTTAACAACCCAATCAATCAACTGGATCTACTCGACATAGGAGTACACTCCACCCAACAGCAGCAGAATACAGTTTTTCAATCTCACATAAAACAATCATAAAGAAAGACCATATCCTGGCCCTAAAACAACCTCAACAGATTTTAAATATTGAAATTATAGAATATGTTGTTTGACCATAATGGAATCAGACAGGAAAACAGCAACAGAAATATAACAGGAAAATTTCCAAACACTAAACAGCACACTTCTAAATAATCCATAGTTCAAAGATGAATGTGTCAAAGGAAATAAAATAATGCATAGAACTGAGTAAAAGTGAAAATACTACATATCAAACTACAAAGCCCAAATCTGACCACCTACTGATGGCAGCCCATGGAGCCCCAGGGGGCTCCATCCTGAGGGATGTAGTGGCCAATGTTGACATGTGGTCATCCAATAGAACAGAAAATTATTCAATGACATTTACAAACCAACTTGTGGCTAAGGGGGGTAAAGGTTTCAAAAATTTTTAACAAGCAAGTTACTCATGTATTCAAAGATGGATACTGGAGCACTTGGGATAAAGTTCAGAAGAGAGGAGTAAAGCTCATTTCAGTGTTCTGTGTTGAAAATCACAGGACAGCTGGAGTGCACATTGATGAATCATTATTCCTTGTTACTTATGAACATTTATCAAGCCTAATTTTTTTAAGTATATGCAACCCAAAGATTTTATTCCTAAAACAACATAAAATAATAAAATACTTCAAAAGAAATTTGAGAAAATGGCTAAAGAGTTATAAAGGCAAATGACAAATCTAAATCATGATGTACCTGTTCTCTTATTTGAATGTGATAGTTCATTGATGTATAGTCCCCCAAGTAAAATTTATGGTAGTCATCACGGCGTAATGGAGAAGATATTACAAGAGATGAAGGACAAAGGGGAAAATCTTTCCTCTACCTCTTCCAAAATGATTGAACAGCCTCATGATAATCCAGTTAAATCCTTGCTAATAGTTTACACACATCTTCTGATGCTCTTTGTGGAAACTCAGGATGTGGAAATTAGAAAAGGAAGTTGGGAGGATCTATTAATAAAATTAAAAGTGGCATGTGTATTTCTTCATTTGTATTGAAAACAAATAGTACTCATGCATCAGCATCTTCTAGTTACCTCAATCAATTACATCCTCAAAAATCCAGGAAGAAATAAATTGGCAAAGAGATACTGTAGGTGGAATAGTCACCTCTGGCAAAAAGCAAGCTGAAGGTATATAAAAGGAGATGTTTGTTGAGAAATAGTTTGTCTCCTACATTATCTACAGCAATGGGTCACATTTTGATACATTCGAGACCCAATATAATTCCTCAACAAAGAGAAAATGAATGTCAGAGGACTTACACTCACCTCCAAAAGAAAAGCTAAAGAAAAAGAGGTACTGTAGGAAATCTGTAATGCTAAGGTTGTTGCTGTTTAAGTCAGAAAACAGACTGCAGTTCATGACCAGATCTACTATTGAGACTCTTGATTGTGGGGAGTCCTGGATCTACAATTGAGATTCCTGATTGTGGGGAGTCCTCATATGATGATTATTCTTCACCTGATAATCTTAAGGAAGGGAAATCAGAGAATCTTCCTCCTGAATTTCAGCCATCATCAAGCCCAGCTCTGTTCGACAGCAGAAGTCTTTCTGAGAAGGAGACAACAATCATATTAGAAATGTCTGTTTTTTCCTGCACTGGTGAAAACCCAGATCAGTCAACATTACCAATTTATCAGTAAAAACTATGTCCAGTCCTCATAAACCTGCAAATGATGAACGCAATACAGCTTTGAGTTTTAACATCTGCCTATGAAGAAGCTCCAGGGGGTTGTAGAGAGGCTGGCCCTCAGCAGAGAGAAGACACATGCCTAGATAGAAACAACTTTCCTTGTACCATTGATGACCCTGCCCATCCAAAAGGACATCATGGAGATTTAACTCCTTTGAAAGCAAACAGTAAAGAAATGAAAGAATTGCTTGATAGTAAAAACATGCCAAAAGAAGGTACCGCTTCCAAAATGCTGAGCTCTTCTGAAGGTAAAGCACAAAGTGACTATAAGATAAATTGTGTCGATGATTGTGATGTGGAGAAATATAGAGAAGAAAAGGAGAACTTATCCAGAGGATATAGTGAATATATGTGAATCTCCTTTTGCAAATATCTTTGTTATACAAATATGTAATAGTTCATACATATTTTAAATTTATCACATTTTAATAATTAAAATAAAAACTACATAGCACACAACTGAATCAGTACTGAAAGGTAAATGTATAGCATTATATGTTTAACATTAGAAACAAAGAAAGGTTAAACCTAATCTAAATTCTTATTTCAAGAA